TCCATATATCCTCTGTGGCAGAAATACATGATGAATATTTACTTTTCAAAAAACTTTATTTTTCTTTTAAGCATCAATGATTCATGAATGGTAAAAACGATTAGGTAATCTCTAAGGAACTTTAGATCTTTACATGCTGACAATCTGTTACTGGTGTGTGTGCTCAGTTTCCTGGCCTCACATATTTGATTCTTGTATGCTTGAGGTTTTCTTTCTTCAATTCCTGGAGCATGTATTTTGAAATATGGCAATTTCCCTAAGAGGCACATTTTGCAATTCTGTGCTACAGGAAATGTGTCTTTTAAGGACAGCCCTGAACTTTTGCTTCATGGAGAAGGTCATCAAGAGGAGGCTGATGCTGTCTGTTCAGGTTAACTTTTCACACTGCAGCTTCTCCTGTTTGACTAAGCACTGCTCCTGGACACTTGTCACGTCAGCAGAAGATTTTAGTACCCTGAGGTTACACACAAAGTATAAAGCCACAAAGAACCACACTCTGATAACGAGTTTATGTCAGATTGGGTTTAAACGCTACTGGATTTTTGTGGCACCTTTCATTTAAACAGTTCAAAGATATTTTTCTCTCTCATTTGTTAGCTTAGCTGTTCTTAAATTCCTGTGAAGTAGACACATCAGACTGAATATGCTCCAGTTTCACAGAGAGGAAAAAATGAGACAGACAGATAAAGAGATCTCAGAGATAGCACAGTACAGAGCTGAAACCTAGTTCCACACAGCTGAAAAAGGTCTTTCACTGGTTTCTTAACTAAGAATGAGCAACTCTCCCCAGCAGTGAGTTGATGCTATAAAGAATATACTGAAACACGCATTTAACATGCACTGTATTATCTAATTCTTTTTCAAAAAAAGTTAGCAGTGTCCTTATCCCTACTTTATGGATGAGGAAATGGAGTCTATAAGTTATGACAGTCAGTGTCATAGCAGTAGGTAGTGTGAAAATTGGATCTATTTGTTTCAGTTGTAAACTCAAATTTATCTGTTTCAAAGCCATTGCTTTTAATCCCACCTGATACTTGTGTCCTCACTTCATACAGTGGCCCTGCACTTATTCTATGCCTGGGGTCAGCCCCAGTGTTAATAGTTTGATTGGCTCTATCACTTTAATCAGGCTGGTTCCTGCAATTAGTGATAAACTAAAAAAGCAGACTTTTTCAGGATAAAAAGTCAAGCATTATATATGAACTTGTCAATAGCATTTTGTTGGTGGAGTACTGGGGACCAAACTCAAGAGCAACCTGCCACTGAGATACATCTTCAATCCCTTTTTAAAATCGATCAACCAACCAACTTCCTTCCTTCCTTTCTCTTTTTTAAGACAGTATCTTGCAAAGTTGGTGATGCTGGCCTCCAACTTGCAATCCTCCTGCCTCAGCCTCCCGACGTGTTAGAATTACAGGCACACACTACCACACGAGACCCTCAACAGCATTGTACAAGGAGGTGGTGAAAGGAACATTTTATAGCTGTTTTAAAGCTATAACATCTACAGAAATTTAAGAATATAAATGAATAAATGTGTGTATGTGTGGTGGGGGGGATGTCAAGACATTATTAAATTATAAATGCAAATGAACTTCAGCCTGTAGTGTCTGGTGAATTCTTTTTCTTACAAGTAGCTCCATTTCTAGCACATACTCCTAAGACACACAGATGTTTTTGAACATAGAAATAAATCCTGAAAAACAAAATTCTGCAAATTTTATAATGATTTCAGAAATCAGAAGAAAATGGACATGAACAAAGAGTTGGATATTCAAAGAATACAAAACATACTTCCATATTTCCAAAAGCAAGAAATGAATTAATGGCAAGTGAATTTCTTCAATGAAGCAAATACTTAGCTAACTAGAAGATAAAGTCCTCCTAATTGACCCATCAGTTCCTCATTCTGCACCCAAAAGAGAGAAGTGCAATAGAAGAGCAACTTTTCAACCACATAACATTTGCTGTAATAACAAACCACAACATACAGGTAAAGAAGAGCACAGGAAATGACTCTGAGATCCTTGGACGGAAATGAAGCGTATGGGGAGAGGAAGGCTGTGATCAAGGGAATGTCACAGTGAAGTAAGTGTTTCCATTCAAGAAACCACAACACACAAAGAATGCACAAAAAAAATGTTAAAAACATGTCTCCTAACTCACAGAGATTCATAACTTACCGGTATTCATAAGACAATGGAAAGCACAAAGAGGCAGGGAGTACCTGAAGACCAAATTTAAAACACTGAAAAAAAAAAAAAAACATAATGGAGAGGGAAGACTTAGGCTGGTTCTTAAAGGATAAGTAGTATATTAATAGCTACTGGAAGATGGGAAAGAAAAACCCTCCAGACATAGAGAAAAGTGTGAATAACTCTCCTGCAACTCTCCTAGTATTATTTCCCTCCTTGTTAATACTTAAAGTTATTTTATTATGATGTTTTGTTTTTATAGAGAATGCCTCCTCCTGTAGAAAACTAACTGCTATAGGGGCCAGGAGGACGTGAAGGAGCACTATTCTCCATGGTCTGCAACTTGCCCAATGTCTGGCACATGGAGCTCAATACATTTGTGTTGCACCATCAAAAATGTGTCTGGAAGAAGCAAAGCTCCAAGACATGTGGAGTAGGTAAGTGGTAGTAAGCATGTGGAAGATAAGACATGGGTGGTGGGTTACAGGGTGGATAGGGGAAGTGGGAATAAGAATACAAAGAGTTTAATTAAGATATAAGATCTGAAGAGTCAGGAATAGCTACTGAAGTTTTTGTATCCAAGATTAAGTTGGTATAAAATACATTATATTTTGCCATGAAGTGTCAGAAGAGTTCTATAAACCAGTCTTTTCCAATAAACAGAGCTAAGTCATCCAATGTTTATAAATATTTACAAAGTCCTTTCTCTGTGCCAGGCACTATTAGGAACTGGGTGTATAACAGTCAGTAAAAACAGGAGTGGCACTTTCCCTCATGGAATTTTACAGTTCAGCCTAATTCATTAAATTATTCAATCAATTCCAAAGTGCAATATATATTGGCTCAGTTTTGTGCTGTGTGACTGCTATTTAGGGGAAAGAAAAGGAAAAAGAGCTCACTACCTAGTGCAGAAGAGAAAGACAATTGCTACCAGAACAAAGATGAGATATAAATTAAATTCTATCAAAATACACAGTAGGTAATTCATTTGGTATGATTCAGACTCAAGGCTTCAGAGACATTTGCTTGAATTGAATTTTATTTAAGTGATGAATCTTGGTCCTCAGAGGATCTAAAAGTATATAAAATAACGTCATGCATATATGTATATGTAGAGTTATGAGTGTATAGCTTTAAAAGAGAATATGATGCACAATAACTTCATGCCAAAAATTGAGAATCACTCTATTCTATAGAGACTATAGGGAAAGGAGAGAGAACGAATCAATCTAGCCAAATTGTCAAACCAAATTGAAGCAAGCATTTAAAAAATAAAGTCTATTACACAGACCTTGGACTAACTTCCCAACAAGACATGCTATGCCAATGAAAAGACTTGGAATGATGCTTTTTAGAAATGTTCTTTCCTGATGGAACTTTGTCAGAAAAAAAAATCAAAGATTTTCCTAGTTTCTGAGAGCAATCTACAAACAATATCTGACCAGTTTGGATTAATTTCATACCCAAAATGACAAGTGAAGGCAACACACCCATTTTAATGATCACAATGGGTATGAGAACAATCAGTTCTTTAAAAATTAATATCCAGAATGTCTCTCACTCTGCTAAATGGCAGTTGAGAGTATTTCAGCAATTGCCACAAATGTAATATACAAAACACCCAATAAAGCGTTCTCCTGATCCTCAGGGAAGAGGGGAAGTTGACTTTGTTTTCGCTAGTATCTCTCTAACATGAACTTTCAAATATCCAACTACAACAATGAGGAAGAGAATTAATCCAGTAATATGAAAGTGAGGAAGGCTTTCTGTATATTAAAACCCATTTCTTTAAATAAATCTAACAATAAAAACAACACCAACAGGATCACTTCCCTCTGTCCTTCCTGCTAACATGTTTGGAAGTCCCTGTGTGAATAAACAGGCAGTCTCCCATTTATATACATACTGTGTTTCAGAAGTTCTGTGACAAACTGGCTATTTGAAATTCAGCAGATCACTCACCAACCATGGTTTGTTTTTTCAGGCTGGTTAGGAAACCTGGCTTTATTCAACAAACATTTATTGCACATCAATTTACCCCACAGGATTGTTGAATGAGAGAACTGTGAATTCTGGATCCTGAATTAAGGATATCCTGCCATGCCGAAAGGAGGAGGAAAGAGAAAAAGAAGACATGCAGAGAGCAGGAAAGAAATCCTGTCCCGTTTCCTCTGCATTTCTGAAATATAAACATTGGGTTTTCTGTTTCTTCCAATCTCAGTTTATTAGATACCCTTCTGATTTCCCAGGGCCCTCTACAGGCTTTCCTAGGTCTCAGTCCAGCCCAAAGTTTTATTTGTTATTCAAAGATTGACTGTCTTCCAAGTGCTGGAACTCTATAAGTAAAGACTGAACCAGCCTGTATATAAGTCCTAGATAGTATGAGCTCAGAGACCACACAGACCTGCCTGAAATCCCAGACTCCCATCTGCAGCTGGATGACTTTGATTAAATTATGGAAGATAATGCAGAAGTGTGGATTCTTAACACATGGGTTGAAGCTTGGCTCCTAGCCCTGTGGCCTCTGACAAATTGCTCAACTACACTGTACCTTAGTTTCCTTAACTACAATGGTGAAAAAAGAGAATCTACTTCACAAAAGATATTGAGAGACAGAGTAAAATAAAGCATTTAGAATGCAGGCCCTGGGCTCAATAGATGTTAACAATAATCATTTACCTTTCTGAGTCTCCCATTCCTAATCTATTAAAAGGTGGCATCTATGTTACAGAATTTTGATGAGTATTATGTATGATTACATATGTCACCTACCACACTGCCTTACACTAGTAAAATGTGAGATTATTAGTTTCCTCTCCCTCCTTTCAATTCAGCAGTATTCTTTCTGCTTACAGATAACAAAAAAAGCAAAATTGCTAGAACTGATTATAATTAATGTAACTTTTAACCTTTGTAGACTTATTTAAATTACCAAAAAAGATCATTTCTACAATTTCAAGGTAGGTACTTCAACAAAAAGAGAACTGGTATAGTGGGGCCAAGATACCTAAGTGGGTGCTTGCAGCTGACTTAGAACATAGAGCATGAAGGCAAGATCAGCCCTACTGTACAGCAACAGGAGTGTGCAGCAAATGAAACCCTTGACTTTGTTCCCATGATGGCAGAACTTGTATGATCAAAGGTGTCATTCAATTATGCAAAGATATAAATTAAAAAAAAAACACAGCATAACAGGCATCAGGAGTAGAAGACAGAAAGGTGTCTGCTTGCTGATTGTCTTTTTCAGTCACCCACACGCTATTGGCTGTCCACCACAACAATGGTTTTATGGCAGTGACATTTTTTTTTTCAGTCTCTTCTCCAGACTTTATCTTCCATTCACCTCATGAATAATTTCTCTAGAGTTTGACTGGCTTCTCTTGTCACTTTATATAGCCTTTTTAAGGGCTTCAACCATCACAGAAATGCATCCAATTCTCTATCACCACTTCTGTTTTTCCCCCCAAGCTCCAGACCCAAAAGTACGCAACCACTATCTGCTAGTCACTGCCACCCAGATGTCTTGCAGAAATCTCTAACTTAATATGACATTTATTAAATGCATTACATTCCTCAGTGTCTCCTTCACTATTCCCTGCCATGGTTCATAGCACCAATCCTCTTCCAGAGAGGAAAATACAAAACCAAGGAATCACTGGATATGGTATTACTTTGAAGAAACAGCTGAACACATGCTCTTCCTCTTCCATAAACAAACAGAACACATGCTCTTCCTCTTCTTAAAACCACCAGCAATTCCTCTTGATCATGGTTGTGAAATTTAAGTTCTACTTTTGATAAGGACAGAAATTATTCTTATGAACTCATCCGGTTAAATTGTGCACTCCTTTGAGATTTCAGAGCTGGACATCTGTCTCTTTTCCCCCAGACTGCTGGCACATTACAGTGAACACAACTGATCTTCAGATAGTGGATGTGGAATGGATACAGGAATTAATGACTACAGAAAAATAAATGCAGTGAAAACAGATATAAATAAATAGCTCCGAGTGTATATGGAAAAAGTGATTTCCAGATGGAGAAAGCAAGGAACAATTCATGTAGCAAGTAGAATTTAATCTGTTTTAAAAGAAGAAAATTCTAGGCAGGGGCACTGCATGAGGAAAAAGGAGAGGAGAAAATGAGTGCATTTGTATGGGAAGAAAACTGAAAAAGCACACAAGGTTAAAGACCTTGACTGCAGAGTAAATAGATCAACACATTTAAACTGGAATACATATTACACTTATTCATATAAAATTGTTAATATTATTATTTTAATTATCTATGCAATTTTAATTGTCTCATACTATGGAGAATTACAATTACAAAGAAAACATGAAATGAGCCTTTATATCCTTACTAACCCTAACAAGTATCAGTCTATGTTCTATTTAATCTATACCCACTCACTACCCCAAAATTATTTTGAGACAAATCACAGAGATCATAAAATTTTATTTGCAAATATTTCTGCTTATATTGCTAAATCATAAGACTCTCTCAGCAAGTATAACTACTGTCCCATTATCAAGCTTAAAAAAAATAATAATTCACTGATATCATCAGTATTATGAGTTCAGAATTGTCGGATTTTCTCACAATTTGTTGTACAGTTCATTTGAATGAACAGAGTTCAACTAAGGACTTTGCAGGGTTGGTGAAGCTCTTAAATCAATCTGCCTCTCCCTCTCCTTACCCTTCCCTTTCTCTCCCTTCCTCTTCTTCTCCTTTCACCCTCCTTCTTTTTCTCAAGTTCTCCTTTACTCTTAATCACTTTATTATACAATAAAACATATACAATAAACCATATACAAAAAAATCCACGCTAAACATACGTATGAGTTAATGAATTACTTTGAAGCAAACATCTTGGTAAGCACCAGTCAGGTCCAGGAATAGCACTTTGCCAATCACCCTTGAAGGCCTTCCATGTGTCCCATGTCAATCACACTTTCTTTACTTCTCTGTCCACAGAAGTAGTGACTATCTATACTTTCATAGTAAAATCACTTCTTTGTTTTCATTGATCATTTTTATCACCTATGTGTACATCCTTAGATGTTATAGTATCATCCACTTTTTAAATGTCTTATATGCTTCTTTTAATGTCATGTTTCTTAAGACATTCCTCCTCCACGCCTTTCCTTTTCTTACATGTTGAATCACCCAGCATATTTGGCCTGTAGAGTTTCACACAGTCTGGATTTTGCCAACTGCAAACTCATAGGGTTCCTCAATATATTCTTATATTCTTTAGATTTCTGGCAAAATATCAGCAGTATCTAAAGACTTGATCAATACATTTGACAAGATTATAGCTAACACTGCGTTCTTCTATTAGAAGAAAAATATCTAGTGGTTTATCATTTTGTGACATTAACAATCATTGATGCTTAATGCTTAGATTTATTAACCAACTGGGACTTGCAAAGTGGTGTTTCAAATCTATGATTTATCCTTCATTTATTAGTAGGGATGCTTATATAAAACATACTTTTCTGCACCATTTCATTACAAATGGTATATTTCTTCCAAGAAAATCAGAATGAATATTAAATTATTTCTCTTTGTTTACTAGGTTTCCAGACAATAAACTGATTTCCTGTCAGTATTCAAATGCAAGTAATGAAAATTTTTACAAATATCATTATAAACTTATGAATTAGAACTTACTTCATTGAATTAAAACCATTGCAAGTACTATATTTATTGAAGTTTAAATTGCACACCTTTGGCTAATAGTTAACACTTTCTTTAAGTTAATTCCTAAGTTGTTTCATTAACACTTAAGGGAATTTAAGTTTTTTCAGCTATGATTGTGGAATTGTCTATTTCTCTCTTGAATTCTGTCAACTCTTGATTCATGTATTTTAAAGCATTTTTAAAAGGCACATTTACTGTTACTATTTTTATGCCTCCAACGAAGTGACCTTTTTACTATTGCAGAATGTCCTCTTTATCTTTGGTAATCCTCATTGTCTTAGAGTCTACTTTATCTGATATTTGTATAGCTACTTTAACCTTTTTATTTTATTCATTATTTATTTTTTACTTTAAAAAGTTTTCTCCTTTTTACTTCCTACCAATCATCAGGCATTATGTATGGTGTGTTTGTGTGTGTGACCATGTGTGCACACTTCTGCTGGGGTAGGAGGATAAAGGAGGTTTGGGGAATAGAGTATTCTATCAGTTCAATAGAATGGAACATACTTATATAGGTGCATACACACACACACTCTCTCTCTCTCTCTCTCTCTCTCTCTCTCCTTAGTTTACCTGCATTTCTGAAACAATATTTTCTTCATTGTAAGTTTTCAGTGAGTTATGTCATTTCTGGACTTTTCTAATTCTATTTATTTATGTTATTCTTTCAATTTTGTTGTGATTTCTCTTAATGTCTTCTAGCTCATTTTGAAGTAGGTAATAATACACACTTCTGACGTACCTTCTTTTTCTGCATAGATGTTATTCTGTCTACTTTTTCTTATAGCCCTGAATAGGATTTTTACCTTGGGTTTTTGTTTGCTTGCTTGCTTGCTTGCTTGTTTTTGCTGTTGTTGATCATTTTTTATGTCAAATTATTTTTTTTCTGGACTTTAGAATATGGCAGGATTTTCTAACTTCACAAAGATTCCTCTCCAAATCTATGGTGGCTCTGCCATGGGATGTCCTGACTATTCCCTTTCTCCCTTATTTGCAAGTCCTTTCTTTTTCCTTCCTCTACATTGTCCTAATCTAATTCATGTTCTCCTTTTCCTGAATGATGAGGATCAAACTTAGGGCCTTACGTAGCTGCTTCTCTTCTGTGTATCTGTTAACTTTTTAGAGTTATAAGGCACTAGAATGGCTCCAACCCCATCAGAGCTTCTTACTATTTGCACCTGTCTTTTCCCAGTAAATCCTCTCCTAATTTCAGCTGCTGCTCCTGAGTTGGCCTACTGCACTTTCCCAGGAGCACTTGTGGTTCTTTTGGGGCCTCCTGCTCTCAGGTGGGCCAGACAACATGTCACTTTCTTCTGCTGCCCTCCCTGCCTTCCCATAAGAGTCTCAAAGGTGTTGGTAGCTTCTCTCACTCAATTACTGAAAGGAGTTCTCATGGATAATTTGTCACCAAGTTTTGCAGACCTTGAGTTTTTGGCTTTGATGTAAGTGGGCACTTGAGATTTAAGTTAGCTTTCCTGCTACCATAAGTGTTTCCTTCAAACACTTTCATTTTTTGATTAAATACTTCCCAGATCCCTCAGATGTGGAAGAAACCACAGAAAGATGGTGCCCACAAAGGAGGGCAAATCAGAATGACACACATAAATACCAAATTACAGTCCTGACAAACCAAGGAATTGAAGTTCACCAGATGACTCAGCAGTTTCTGGCCTCACTAGGCAGTGAGTAAAAGGAGACATTTCTCAAAATGTGTTCAACAGGAAGTGAACAGAAACAAGTTAGTTCTGGTATTCCAGGCGATGTAAATTAAGAAACAGTGGGCTGAGGCAAATCAACCATTACCTTTTTCTTTGAAGCAGTATAAAACGAGGAAGTGGCAAGTTTTGTGCAAAGTTTTTAAAGCAGAAATCATAAAATCTGAGAAGAGAAATCTCAGCTCCTACATTTAACTCAGCAAATAAGTACTGACATTTAAGAAAAAAAATAAAATGTTCTCTAATTTGCTTACCATATACCATGTGACAGTGGGTTTGACTCTGGAAGGAAAATATCCATCCACATTCGGACAAGTGATGTTCTGAATACCATATTCTATATACAGTTTATGCACTGGGAGTTTCATGGGGGAATTGAAACAGCTGTCTTTTTGAACAACTTCCAGAGGAAATGCAACTTTACTGCAATATGTAGTGTTCCTGAAAAAAGAAATATGCAATAAATAGGTAGTCTCATTTGCATTTCACTTAATATAGCAACCACATTAAAGTGAACCAAGTAGAGACTTCATTTATGTGTTAACTTCCTGTAAAAACTGAATGGCTTATGGAGGCATGTCTTATGTCAATTGGTATCACAGAATAAAAATATCAACACAGTTATCTAATGATAATGCTCTAAAATATTTACACATGACCCTGAACATTATTGATATTAGACTTTTTAAAAAGGAGAAAGGATTAGGGATATAAAATGCCCAACCACAGGGCAGATTATGACACCCATGGTAAGCTGTTGGGCTTTTGTGAGAAATGTGTGTGTGCCATGTGAGTGTGTTTAAATTTTTCACTTAAAAGTTTTTTAATAATACTCAGTGTTGGTGAAGCACGGCAAGAATGGCAATATTTAAGCATAGCTCAATGGTAAAACAACTTGGGCAAATTATAATTTGGAATGGAAATCTTTTTTTCAAGTGATGGAAATATGGAAAGGGGGAAATAGTGACGACACATACCCAAAAATGTCCATCTAGTGCCATCTCAGCAATAAAACACTAGGATCAAGAGAAAATCCAAACAAAAGGAAGATGGTAAAAAAAAATATGGTATAACCACTCAAAATTTTTATTGGTACCTATAAAAACAATCAAGATGAGGGGCGAAACAAACACATCATCTACTTAGAATGACTGAAATCACATACTAATGTCTACACAGGTGTTTCCTCTTCTCTTTTATCCTTTATCTACCCTGCATCTAGCTTAGGTCTCCTATTCATTGAGCACCTTGAACATTTCCTTGGTGACATTTATCATAATACATTGGTACAGTAGGGAGAAGGCAACAAGAGGAGGGAGGAGTGGAGAGAAAGGAGAAGTACTAGGGACTGAATTAGAGCAAATTATATTCCATGCTTTTATAATTATGTCAAAATAAATTCTTACCTTCTTTAAAACAAAAAGAATTATTAAAAATTATCATAATATAAAACTAAATGGTTATATCATAGATATCTATCTATATCTTTGTAAAATAAGTTCTACATAATCACTGGTGTTTATTATCCATCACATCTAGTAGTTTCTAAATTTTTAGTGATGAAAAATATTTGTTAAATGAATAAAATGGATAAAAATTATTATCTACATATTGTCAGGGGCTAGAAGGAAAATCTCCTTCAAAGAATAGCCTGACATTTACAAGAAACAGCCCCCTGGGAGACATCCTGCAGCTACCTATCTCCCTGGAACATCCTGCGGTTATCAGGATCATCAGACATCTTGCAGCTGGCAGTTTTACCACCCACATCCAGCAATTGCTGATTAGAGAGCTTCCCTATCCCCAGCATATAAATACCCCTGTGTGAACAATAAAAATTTGCAGCTTGATCAGAACTCCTGTCTTGCTGTCATCCCTTGTGTCTCTTGTCCCTTCATTCCTCCCCACCTAGGTTCGCTGCTCATGTTGATGTGTCCTGCCGGTTGGGACAACATATAGGGAAAGAAGATAGGCTATATAGAATAATAAAAATAAGTATTTTGGGTCCTTTCACTTTCCACATTTTTTTATTTCTGGCTATAGGACCAAAGCATGGTAAACATTTGGCTCATGAATTGATACTAAATACAATGCAAGGGGTGGGGCATGAATTCCCAAACATAACTTGTGACAATACTAAGAATGTGGCATAAGGGAGGACCTGTGCCTACCAATAAAAAAGGTCTACCTTGTAAAACAAAGATTCTATTCGCAGAAGCTGTAAAAGGTATATTTCAATTGAATATAAAGATACAGTTTCTGATTTGAATAAAAGTAATGAACAGTGGTTGGACTGACTTTTGCAACTCCCAAAGTTGACTATTATTAGAGCAAGAATATAAGGTAAAATATAGGAAGATGATTCTAACTTCATGGCCTTAAAGTTATCTAACCCTGTGATTCCACATGGTTGGGTTGAAGGCCATTCTCAGTTTAGAAATGATCTCAGGGTAGCGAGAAGCTTTTTTATTTATTTTTATTTTATTTTTTTTAGATATTGATGGACCTTTATTGTATTCATTTATTTGTATGCGGTGCCTCACACATGCCAGGCAAGCACTCTATCACTGAGCCACAACCCCAGCCCAGGGAGAAGCCTTTTAATGCTCCCAGCAGATAATTTCAATTATCCCTTTGCCTTGGAGACATGGAAGATAGGCAGGCAGGTAACAGACAATCTTTAATTGATAAAACACTAAAGGTATATGCATGCCTTACTGGCCAAGCAGCTCTACTCTTATGATGTAAAATTATTAGTTAGGAAAGTTTGGGGAACTGCTCTAGGCAAGCAGTGGGAAGCTAAGCAAAAAAGTAACACAGATACTATAGAACATCATTCAGAAGAGACCAGAGTCTAATGGAAAACAGAAGATGACTCCATCCCAGGGATCAGCTAATGTTCACTTGGGAAATGGTAAAGGATAAACAATCATCAAAAAGGAAGAGGAGCTTGAAGAGCAAGTAGGCCATCTCTCATTGCATGGATGAAGACACCACATATGGACACAACTTTCTACATTCACCAGCCAAGTGGTGGCAGAGCTGCAATGGCAGCCTGAATTCTCTGCCTTCTCCTCTCATGCTATTTGCAATATAATCTGTATTAACTTTTACCAAGTTGCATTGGGACATAAATAATGGGAACCCACCACCAGTCTAAAATTCACTCCAATAAAAACCATTATCAGGTAAAAGCTCCAGAAGGGTCTTTAGAGGCCTCATAGACCATTAGGACACAGTGATTCCGAGGCTTCTCTGCAATAAAGGACCTTTTTAAGCAATTATAGCACAGCTTGTATTTACGAAAGCGGAGAACCATAAAAAATGAGAGAAAAAAGATATGGGATTACTAGTTATTATGAGCTGAATTGTGTTTCCCTCATACACCAAATTCACATATTGAATTTGACTTCGGAATTTGACTCTATTTGGAAACAGGACCTTTAAAGATATAAGTAAGGTAAAATGAGATCAGAAGGGGGGGGGTCAAGTGTCATATGACTAGTGTCATTTCAGAAAGATATTAGGACATAGACATATACAGAGGGAGCCTGGTGCAAAGACATAATGTAAAGATGGCCATATGCAAGTTAAGGAGAGAGGTGCTGCGAATCAAACCCATCCTGCCAACTCTGATCTTAGACTTCCAGCTTCAGAACTCTGAGAAAAGAAATTCCTAATGGTTAGGACACTGTCTCTGGTATTTTGTTACTGCTGCTCTGGTAAAACAATATGCCTATTAAATAGTAAGAAATTATATTATAAGAAAAAAAATGCTCCCCGCTTGAAAAAATAAAAATGAAAGTCACGACCTAGATGGGAATTTTGAAAACAAAGTATATCCTGGTTAAAAGGGAATGTGAATAAAAGGTATCCAAAGAACTAAGCCTTAAAATTATTATTCTTTGAAGGAGTCTCAGTTTTTTAAAGCGTTGCCCACTCCCAAACAAAAACAACATTAATCTGCAATAAAAGAAAAGCAGACATGTTGTAAGATAAAATCTATATAGATATTAAAGAAAAAATGGATTTGATAAACTTTGCAATAATGGTAGGTTTTTTTTTAACAATAGTGTCTTAGATTCTCAGGAATGTGGTATTCACTTGCTTCCTAGGGGAATTTCAGTAGAAAAATTTAAACACTGTATTACATACATTTGATGTTTCCTAAATATTCTTTCTTCTATAAAGGTACTCTGAATTATTCTAGGCCAGGCACTTTGAAAGATGCCAAGAATAAAAGACACAAATGGGCTCTATTCCCAGCCTTGTTAATTTTCTAGGGAAGTGGATGATTCCAGGTTAGGGATATGTGTTCCAATGCCAGGGGAAGGGGGCAAATAAACAAAGTTCCACCTTTGAACAACTGCAACATGTGTTGGGGTCTGAAAAGAAACCACCCATGGAGAATATTCCTGGAGCATGCTCATTCTCCCTGCACATCCTTCAGTCCTTCTAGGCTAAGACACTGGAGTGAAGCATAACTCTACATACTCCCTTCCCTCCCCCAGCTTCTTGGTGCATTCAACATCTGAATAAAGCCTGAGAATCAAAAGGAAGAGAGAGCAGTCGGGCTACCTTAACATGCAGGTGTAGTTGCCCGTGTCGTTGAGGAGGGTGGGCCGGAACCAGAGCACGTCTTTCTCCTTACTGATGCGATTCTCAGGGAGGCGGAAGTTAATGGGCTCCTCGAGGTCCCGGTCCTGCCTAGTCCAATACCAGATCAGAGTAAGGCCAGCTGAATGGGCTGTGCTGTAGTTAAACTTCAAGAAGTGTTCAAAGAGCGGGCACTTGATGCGAGCGGGCTCATCTTCGAATACTTGGATTTGCCTCATGGTATCAAGTCCCCAGTCATCGCAGCGTTCTAGAATAATCAAAAGGAAAGAAAAGGGAAGATGGGTCACTTCAAAATAAAGTCCTCCAGAGGACACTTTCTCCTTAGGATACCTAATCTTTTCCAGGTATCTCCTTCACTGGTCCCTCCAATAAATGCATATAAGAAACACCACTAGTGAAAGAAATTGCTTCTTTCCATTTCTTCATTGTCTTTTGGATATCTTCTGGATAAACATTTGATCTGACAGCTTGATCTTGTGAAACCCTACAAGGACTGAGGGAGATATCATCTGAAGAAGAAGTCATGTGCTTTCTCACTTCATGGAGACAGGGAAGTCCTTAGGAGGAAATTGTTTTTTTTGTGTTTTTTTTTTTTCCTGTGTGTGTGTGTTTTTTTTTTAATTAATTAATTAATTAATTAATTTAGATTCTTTTTTTTATTATTAGTTGTTCAAAACATTACAAAGCTCTTGACATACCATATTTCATACATTTGATTCAAGCAGATTATGAACTCCCATTTTTGCCCCGTATACATATTGCAGATTCACATTGGTTCCACATCCACTTTTTTACATACTGCCATACTAGTGTCTGTTGTATTCTGCTGCCCTTCCTGTCCTCTACTATTCCCCCTCCCCTCCCTTCCCCTCTCCTCCCATCTTCTCTCTCTACCCCATCTACTGTAATTCATTTCTCTCTCTTGTTTTTTTCCCCCCTTTCCCCTCACTTCCTCTTATATGTAATTTTGTATAACAATGAGGGTCTCCTTCCTTTACCATGCAATTTCTTAGGAGGAAATTGTAACTGATAATCTAGGTGGGAGAGAGAGAACTCTCTGTGTTCCCACATCTCCTGTTTTGGGGGCTGGATCTGCACTATCCAATAGAAATATAATTTTAGATACCCAGTCACCTCATGAAAGAAGCAGGTGAAATTAATGTTAATAATGTATTTTTTAGCCATAGTATATCCAAGATATCCGAAAAAAAGTTAATGAGTCATTTTACATTTGCATTCTTTTTGCAGTAGATCTTCAACATTCCATTTATTTTACACTTAAATTACAACTTCACCAAGGCTAACCATTCAGGGATCATACAGGATACAGTACTGAGCAGCGTGACTACAGACCTTAAGAAGTCAAGGTCTCCAGGATGCTCACTGGGGAATAAAAGTGCTAGTGGTTCAAAGATTGAGAGTCAAACAAAATTAACAGTGTGTTTCAGAATTTATTTTTTATAATGAAAAATAATCACTCAATTCAGGAAAAAAACACATGATAATTACTTCTTTTCTTATGAGTGGAATCTGAGTGGAGGGCAAAAACAGAAGAGATTACAAGGGCAATGGGAGTCCTATAAGCCCCCCCCCCCCCCCCAAATTATCTTATGATAGCTTTATTTGTTTCTTGTATCCCTTACATACATTCTAACTATATAGTCTTCCATACATTTCAGTTTTCCTGCTAAGTAGAATAATTGGAAAGACATACATAGTGTCATATGGAAAATGATTGTCATTTTAAAATAAAATGGTTACATCACTCCTTTAATTACACCCAAGGGAATAGAGATTGCCATACAATGATGCCAAACCTAAAAATATATAAAGATGCTTTCTTTCAAGTGTAATTAATTCCATACTTCTTTTTCTCCTTAATTGTATCAATTCCACTGACTCTACACCTAATTTCACTTCAGTGGAATATATTCTTATGTTTGACAGTCTTCAGACATTTTTTTCATCATCTTATTCTTCTAAGAATAAATAAATATATAAAGCTCTAAGTGTTAACACTTTGTTTCTTCTGGAATGAGTTTTATTATGATTTTAATATATACAATTCAGGTTAGATTTTCAGTTTTATAAGTATTTGTCAAATATAAAATTTCAGTGAAATCAGGTATTCATAATTGGATGGGTTGGTTCTAAATGAGAGGAGTTAAGTATCAGTTGAAAATTAATTGTTAATATATAAGCATTGAGGAAAATTTTCATGGCCAGAAAAAAAAATGTCACTCAATTCTTTAAATTCCTTCAGCGATGTGCCCAGATTATGTATTTTAACATCAAAATTATTTTTAATGATAATTTGACAATTCTGAAAGACATAGCCTATTCAAAAAATATTTTAAAGGCCCCTTCCTTAATTCCTTCCAAAATCAACAACCTCTGCAATTTGAAACTGGGAGTCTTTCAATCAGGGAAAGTCTCTTTCCCATCCCTTGAATTTGGGCTGCCCCTTGTGACTTGTATTGGCCAACACAATGCAGCAAAAGCCACTGTGTGACAATCTGAGCCTTGGACTTTAAAGTTTTTGCTTTCTCTTGGAATCATGTCACCATTATGAGAACAAGCCCTGGAAAGCCGACTAGTAAATAAGAGTACACATGGGATAGAGCTGAGGCAGCCCTGCTGCAGCTGGACAGCTCCAGAAGCACAGCTATCCAGTCCTTCCACAACTGACCAAAGATGCCAGAGGAAGCCCAGCCTGGATCAAACTGTGCCTGGCAACCTATGGTCTCATGAGCAAAAATACATGTGGAACAAATAAAATGAAATTTTGCCATTTAAGTTGGTGATTGTTAGGCAACATTTTTGTAGCACTAGATAATTGGTAGAACAACTAAATGGTAGTTATTTTACTTTAAATGAAAGCAAAGAATTTGAATCTTTCTGACTTGAAAAAAAAAAAAATGACATTTAAGTAATAAATCTCCGGGAAATGAAACTGTTTTTTCAAGACTCAACAAATGACTATTTTTCTATGCTTTCATTAGAATTACCTTTTAAAATCCAACATATAGAGAGAACTGGGAAGATCAAAAAGTCGTTTACATCTTTATACATTTGTGATACCAGTACATATTTTTAAATGAAAAAAAAAATAGTCTACCTTACCACATTCATTATTTATTTTAACACTGCAAAGTTGCAGAATTAGCTCATTCAGTTTATAGAAAACATACAACCATAGGTTTTCTGATAAATATGACACTTATAAATGCATCCAATATCATTTCTTTTTGAAGCAGCATTAAAACTAGAATAATTTTCATGCCAATACCAGGTAACAGCAAGAACATGAGAAACAAACATCAAAATGGGCAAGCTGTAGCCAGTTTATCAGATTTTAGAACACATATCATAAATCTGCAGGGAAAAGCTGGAGAACGAAATGATCTACAATTCAAGTGGTGAAAAGACCCAGGAACTTTCAGTACAAAGTGAGAAGTCATTAGTGCCATTCACCTATTTCTGGTTCTCCTCCCAGGCACATTATAAGATTGTACTTTTCTGAATCTCTGATGTAAGGAGAAGCTGTGTGACTTTGGCCAATATGGCAAGAGTGTCACTTGTAGTAGGTGTTTTAATGTCTAGGGTATATTTACCAACTTCTCCTTTCTTCTGCTGTGGCAAATATGAACACAAAACCTAAGACACACCCAGCTTGTTCCCTGATGTAACAGAGTAGATCTCTGTTATTAAGTCATAGATAACTTGCTTATTATCGTTGCCAATAATGTATCCTAACATGGCAGATGCAACCAGGTACCTCAAAACCAAGACTATGGGGAAAATGGTCAAACAAAGAGAATTGTATACAAGCTGCATCAAACCGGTTGTGTCATTTTTTCCAATCTCATTCTTCTAGTAACAATTTTCCCCACTCAGCTCCAAGGATGAGGTTAACTAAACTTTTACCCTTCAGGCAGGGTAATCTGACCAGCTTTTAAGTAGAAAGAGCTAACAATTTTAATATCACAGATTTTTTAACAGATTGTACAGTCATATCATCCAAGAGAAAAGCTCAAGGTTAACAAGCTTCACACCAACATTTAGAATTTCCAATCAACTTCTTAATTGCTTCTTCAATACAAACAGTTAACCCAAGAAGATGTCTTGAGAAAACAACAAAAAAAAAGCTACTACAAAAAGTAGTTTTGGGGGAAATAAAGAAAACTTTGAGTGAACTAAAATTATTAAATGAGTATTTTTAAAAAGAAAATAGTTTTTTAAATTATCATTAATTTCAGAGAGAAAGGAACCTACTACATTCCTGAAAGAGGAACAAGAAGCTGTAATAAGGAATATTCAGAAAAACAAGGAGCTGGTTGAAACTAAAAATGATTATAAAGGTAATATAGCATATACATGTAATGTGATATAATATTATAAATGTAAAACCCAAATTGATGGTTCGTTTGGAAGTTGAGGATTCCCTAAAAGGCAGAGGAGAAAAAAAAATTGAAAATAAACATAAAAGTTATAAGAGCAGCCAGAAATTTCAACAATTTAATAGTATAAGCCCCAAAGTAGGGAAAAACAGAAAAAAGAAAAATCTTAATAAAATAACAAAAAGAAATAAAAAGTCTAGACCCAAAGTACATAATTTTTTAAAATTTAAAATAATCTATTATTATACCCATTATTCCCCAGCATCAAAGAGGAAAACAGACTTACACTAATAAAATGTTTTGGCTACCAAAAAGTAAAAAGAGGTGGGGGATATGGGGTGTGGGGGCTGGCTAGAAAACACAAGATTGGAAACTAGAAAATAATGGAGCAATGCATCTGAAGGAAAATTAATTCTAATCCTGAATCTAAAGCTGATGAAACAATGAAGTGTGAAGGTCCACCTTTTCAGAATCCTGAGGACGCAGTAGTTTTATTTCCCGTGTTCTCTTGATTAGATAGCTGTTGATGCATTTGTGCCACCAAAATGAGAAAATAAAGTAAGAAAGAGGAAAACACATGTTCCAGAACAGGGAATTCAAGAGAAAGAAGGAATGATCCTCAGAATGACAGGGAAGATAACCAAGATGACAGCTGTGTAGAAGACTTAGTGATGAACCAGTACATTTACTGGGAATCAGCAATAAAGAGAAAACATACAGAAATTGGTAGAGTATCTGACGACATGAGTGGTGTGAGAAATTACACAGAAAGGTAACCAAAAACTATGAAAATGGTTACCAAATGACACAAACTAAGTAAGCATATTGAAAAATGCAACTAATAACT